GTTCCCACGGTTGTTGTACACTTTTTCGAGGTAACCAAGATTCTACAAATAATCAGAACTCAGTTTTCAAAATGTTTACATGTCTAGTGGTTTGCAACGATCAAATATCACTTGATTTCTGTTTTTTGAACTACATTGAACTACACACGAATATCTAGGACAATATAATGAGTCCAAAAAATTCCTGGATCTCCGAATATAGTATTGCGTTCATTCATTTTTACATTCCGAGAAGACTTGAACTTCTACTCTCTTATCAACATGAATGGAGATAATGTCCTAAAGAATTCCATTTTAAATTCCAGGAAACTCTTATAATTGGCGACATATAATTCTTCGCTATGTGAATATAAGTGGAGACATACATATATCCGATCTTAAGCTATAAGCAAGTGTACTCATTACTCATCTAGCGTTTTGTTTGCCTCTTTATATAAGCCCATCCTCGAAAGAAGAATAAAAAATAAATTTGCCGAATCGGCGGAAAGACAACACCCAGCCCGGAGCAAAGAAAAACCATAATACCAAAAAATATAATGCACCGAAATGAAACGTGAAAAGAAAAAAACCGAAAGTTAATGAAGGCAAAAACAATTTGAATGCACCTGTGTCGCCACTACTACCTCTAGCTGGTTCAGTTCTTGGATTTGGAGTGGGGCTTCTTCGGTGAGCGAGGGGGTCAGCTAAATGGGGTGGTGGTCAACTGCTTCAACCTTCTGCAACAGCGAGCTCCAGCCGAAGGTTGCCCCAGAATAGTTTCGCTCATCTCCCTCAATCCCCGGAACGAACTCCCCACCCGACCTGCACATCAACGCGGCAGTGGACACCGCAGAATGAGTCGAAGAGTTTGGTTTTTTGGCCCAAAATCAAATTCAACCAATTTGTAATGGCCCGGAGTGAAGGCAAAGGCAAATGTCTTCATATGTTTTATGCTACAATTTGCCCTTCCCCCAGTTGCCTCTTTTTATGGGCCACAGCCAATGAACCGAAGAGACATCATGCCGTGGCCCACACACTTGGACGCACACCAAGCGCCCTAAAAAAGAAAGCATTTGTTTCTGTGTTGGGATTTTAATACCCTTCCAAAAATAAAGTGCATAAATATATTTAAGTAAAGAAAGAATTAAAACAGTTTTAGCCTATTATTATTAATTGAACTTGTAGCTGTGACGTTGGGAAACATTTAACCTGTATCTTCACAATGTCTAAAGAAAATTGGTTTTTAGTTGTTACTCATTATTTTGTATTCATTACTTCGTACTTTAAGATATAGTATCTTTTTATATTATTTTTTAAACTTTTCTTCATAATGCAAAAGTTGAGCGACTTCGAGACCTTCTTCAGAGTATTAAAAGCTGAAAAAAGCCGAAATGTGATTTAATTTATTATTACAAACGTTAAAGGAGTCCAAGCCGTTTCTGGACAAAGTCCAGAAAAACTCCGTAGCATTGGGATAAAGGGGGTGGTGGAGTGTAAAACGATTTAGGGCAGGACATCAATTCCTCGAAGAAGCGAGTCGAAGAACTGGGCTAGCGGGGAGGACTGGCAAATGAGTTCCATTTATATCATTGGTCATTACGGAAATTATGCGACGCCGGAGTCCAGGCACTGTGTACGGAAGCGGTATAAAACGATAAAGATACATTGCAATCGGATGTACGAGAATCGCCTCTGGGACGTCCTGTCTACTGACCCAACTGCACGACAAAGGACGAACCTTCATACGCCGTAGAGGATTTGAACAGATGAGGGGACGGCTTTGACACTGACCGTTCGCATAAAGTCGTAAAAAACATTCAAGGCAGCCCATCAATAAAAAACGCAAGACAATAGACAAGGATCGGAGGAAAGGGATGCAAGTCCAGGACTTGTAAGAGATGGCAGCCCACAGATTACAAATGGGGGAACAAATGTGTGGAAAGGAGGTGACGAAATATCAATGGTGAGGCAATGCGTGTAGATATTAAATTTTCTGATTACAGGGGTTATAAAAACTGTAAATTTTATTTTCCTAGTGTGGTTGCTACCTACTTAATTTTATTAAATTTTTTAATTATTGACAACTACTACTAGTTTTAGTTTTACAACTACCACAAGATCCAATAATGGATTAGGACTTGTAAGCCTACATAGAACGCAACTAATGATTGATAAGCTTAAAGCTAAAAACTTCTAGGCACTTGTCCTTTGGCGATACGAGTTTCCCCTGTTCAAAGCTGCCAAAACTAGATTTACGAGCATATTTTGTGAAAAACTTTCAAACAACAAACAAAGCGGAAGCTAATGAGCTTTTGAAGGACCCTGGCTACACTCATCATTAAGCTAATGAGTAGACACTGGTTCGCCAAGAATGACATGGCAATTGTTGGCAACTAATGTGTTAACGATTTAAGGTTAAAGTCAGATTGGAAAATAGGAAGAGGGTAGATCCCCGCCCCGTTCAATGTCAACGTTACGTGTTTGGCATGCAAACCGGAGAAAGGACGGAACTCGGGCAACAGAATAAAAGCAGAAAGCAGGAAGAGAAGCCCCCAATCATCCGGCCATGCGATTACATGTGTGAACTATCGATTGAATTAAGACAACGCTGGAAGTGGAGAGTGGGGGGATGGCGCTGGCGAGCCACTTAAGCGTGTCGCTCGGCTCTGGCTCATCCACTTGAGAAGCATCATAAAAAACGCACCACCCCGCAAGTCGGACGAACGAAAAGATATGTTCTTCCCTTCCATGCGATCTCTCCACTACACATTAAAAAATTGTGTGCTTGGAATTGCAACCGCTTCTTATATAACTAATTGTCAAAACTTGCGATATAAAATTATAATATATTGTATGCTTTCTTTTTGTTGTAATTGAAATGTTAAACTTAAAAATATTTTTTAAATACTAACATAATTTTTATGTTCCAAGTGTAACTCTCATCAAAGCCGTCACACGTCGCACTGCAGGCATAAAAAGAGTGCCCCGAGTACGCAGCATAATCAAACGGTGTGTGTGTGCAGACCATAATAATGTTGACAATCATCCCAGTTGTCCAGGATGGTCTGGGCTTCGATTTTGGGCTAGGATTCTGCCCCTAAGCACTGATTATGCCCGAGATGAACTTAGCCCCATGGTCATGACAATTTACCGATTGTCATTGCCGTGTCCATAAATTCCAATTGACAAGATGCCTGGCACTCGGTACCACCCTCCCGAATCTTGACCCCTTCCACTTCGGTTGATCCACTCCTGGCATTCACTAAAGAGATGGCTGGATGATTCTGGGGTGGAGGTCCTTAGAAGAGGAGACTGTCGGTCGCCACCGATTTGCATCAGAATTTCATAATTATTGTTTAATCTGCACTTGAGGCAAAACCGAAAATGTCGCAGACCTCAAGTGGAAAACGAATGGGAGTTGGTAATGCTATAAGATTTGAATCTGTCCCAATTGAAATCAGGCGGACAGAAAATCAGGGCTAAAAATGTTATTAATTTTTAGAGACACTCCATCCACTCCAGACTCTCCATTGAATGGAGAAAATGTTGAAATATGTTACATTATACATATTACAATTAGTTGTATCAATCTTTATCTTTAAGTTTTATAATTTCAAACAATTAAATCAATGATTAATAATGTATAATAATATAATATATTAAGACCAGACGGGTAACTTCCATTTTTTTCAAAATGAATTAAACTTATTACTTTTGATACAGAAACACATTTTGCATACGGCGAAAGATATAGAAATTCGATACTTCCTGGGCAAGAAATCAGCTAGAAATAAAATAAATAAAAAGCGGAAAAGCAAAAAAAATAGCCACTTCAAAGCGATAGTCGTAATTTGGGGGAATAAAAAATCCGAATTGGACAAAGTTCTTGCGCAATCCGACGATCGAGTGGTTTTGTCTCATTACATAAGATTTAGGGAGAACTGGAGGATATGCGAGTTCTTGGTAGGGCAGGAAACTCATATAAACAAAATAAAAATAATAAATTCAAGATCAGAAACAGACAGAGCCGCAGCCGCAGTACAAACACAATCTGGAATGCAATGAAAATAAACAAAGTTAAAATTTTATTAATGGATAATTTTTACAGAGCAAGAGGGTCCAGCTCAGGCTCGGGCCTCAGATGTAGCGACACTATACCGAGTTACGCCACTTGGCTTTAAGCTCAATCCGTCGGATTGCCATGATCTCGATGTTGATCTCCATGTTGGCGACTGTAATTCAATGCTGCAGCTAGCCCGCCTCCTGCTGCTGTAGATTGCTCCGTTACGCGACCAAAGATTATTTTATGTCGACACAATTCTCTGATCCTCATCGGTCGGGGCGATGTTTGTTTTGATTTTTAAAGTGTTGCTGGCGATGGTGGTCGTCGTCGCTGGAAGCCTATTTATCGATGCCGACAGACCACACAAATAATGCACTTCTCCGAAATCTGGTGGCGTTTTTGTAATCCTAAACATACAACCAAAGATTGTGCTTTGAGAAAAATTGTGCAGACCTAAGGGTGTATATTGAAATATATAAATACTAATTAATCATTTTAAGCTGTATAATATTTTTAATATGTCTGTCTATTTGATGTTTCTTCGCCATTAAAATAAATAGTATTTTTAAACCAAGTAAAAAAGCTAGCTTCGGGTGAAGCAGCAAAATGATAAATTTCTGGTATAGTCGGATAATAAGAGGATGTTATTTCAGCTTAGATAGCTTGCAGTGATAATATCTCAGGAGAAGATCCTGATTAATAATATAAGTAAGCTATAAATTAATGTTCTTAGATGATTTCACTTCTTTACTTTTTACACTTGTACACTTAATTTTAAAATACCCATTCTTACCCATTCTTATTTCTTAAACCTACGTAAAAGACCCATAGGGTGTCCAATGCTATTTTATATGGAAAATTATTTTATGTAAATAATTATTACATTTTTAATTTTACTTACGTGTTTGTCATAATTCTTATAATCGAAACCATCAAACTCGAAATAAAAAGACAACTATTTAACTATTACTTTTAATTTAGATTTATTTATTGCTAAATTGTTTTATGCACACTTATCAACTACTCACAATTGTTTTTATTTAATTCTTTATCATTCGTTTAGTTGCATTCAGGATTCATGATCCTCTTCTGATTTCAGAAAGAGCGATATTTGAATTTGATTTGCAAAAACCTTAAATATATGTGTAGGTGTATGTACATTTGCCATTATCATTCTCATCGAGTGCTCGTTACATAGTATAGGACTTTTTTGCTTTAGTTTACTTCAGAGTTGAGATTTGCTTTATACATACGTTCGGATTCTTAAGTTTGAAATATTTAAACATAATACAACCTTTAGTTTTGGTGATTTTATTGCTTGCTTGACGGTTGACGGCTGATGGCTTGGCAACGGGATTTTAAAGCGGAAACGGAAACACGACCTTTGAGAACAACTCTGCGTGCTACTGTCGCAACTATGATATTTATTATTATTATTCGCTTCTGCTCTCGCTTAATACTAGAAGAGAAACTAAGGCTAGAACTAATCAACAAATAAGCGTGTGTTACTAACTCGTAATTTGTAATAAAGTAGCGATCGTTAATCAGAAGCAGCAAGTGTGTTTCACTTTTCTTGTTTTTGTTTTTTTGTTTTATACAATGTTTGTTCTCTATACATACGAGTTTGAATAAATATTCTCATAATCGGTCTTCGCTTGAGTCAGACTGATAATCAGCAAAAGTTCCATCCAAACGTGCACTCTCTCTCTATCTCAATCTACCTACATGTACATCAATCTCTATCGATCACTTTGAAAGTACGCAAACTTAAATTCAATTGAAATTTATTGTCACAATTAAAATTATACAGAATTGGTAGCTGGAGGAGATTTTCCGGAACTACATTTCTTTCAAAACCCTTATTGTTAATACACATATTTGTAATGGAAATGTTTTTAAATAAATGAATCAAATGATATGCGATTAATTAGGATTAGCGTCAATATTTTTCAAATGATATTGAGAACTGAGAAGTTTTAAAGCCTAGCTTATTGGGAACATGTTTTAAAATAATATATGTGTAAGTTATATAAAATTATAGGAAAAGTTTAAAAGGTTGGACCGTTTTGTATTGAAACTAATTTTTCATATTGTCGTTTGTAAGAATAAAAACCTCTAACCAAAGTTCGGCAAACTAAAAAAACTATGTTGCAAGCCTTCGCAAAAAATAACTGTCCTAGGGAAATACCTTCCTACTACCTGAAAGCGCTCTTAGTTGACCAGCTGCTGACTGTTCCATTGCGGTCCCCGATGCTGAAGGTGGAGCTGCTGGTGGTGCGATGCGGAGGAGGATGACGAGGAGCCGCTGGTCGCCGCCAGCTGGCGTCATAGGTAGAACTCCTGGGAACTCTGGCTATCACCAGTGGCGCCTGCGGCGCCATTTCCAGCGGCACCCACCCTCTGCAGACGCTGCATCAGTGCGTCCCGTTCCTGGCACACCCTCGAGTACTCCAACTTCAGCCTATGCAGATCCTGGTTCAGTTGCCGGTTGGCCTTCTCGAGCTCGTGCCGCTGGTGTAACCGTTTGGATCGGCAGTTCTGGGCGTAACCGCGATTCTTTAGGGTACGACGCTTTTGCTTCAGGCGTACCACTTCTTCTCTGGGACACCCGTGAAGTCGTTTGTTCAGTTCCCGCACTGTCAGTGTGGTCAGCATGTCATCATTGATGCAGTCCTCTAGTGTGGCATTGCTGTAAGCTCCGGAACACGTTCGTGGCGACATGTTGTTTGAAGATCTCGTCGAACTGGCGGAGAGCGGTCGGCAAGGCTGAAGCGAGGCCCGGGTAATCATACATGATCCTCCCCCAACGCTGCCGGAAACGCTGTTACCTTGTCCCGCTCCTCCCCCTACGCCGCCACCCCCGCTGCTGGTGCTACCGCTTCCATTGCTCGGAACCTGAGGCAGGCAAGTGGGCGTGAACGATCCTCCGTTGGAGCCAACGTAGGAATTCGAGTGCATGTTAATGGGCGTCAGTTCCAGGTTGTGGAAGTGGTGGTGGTGGTGATGCGGATACTTGGCTTGCTGAAGCACCACCTGGTGCGGATGAGGATGACTGGTGGGTCCGTGCGGATGGTGCTGTGCCTGCATCAGCGGCTGGCCGTGGTGATGGTGGTGAGCCGCCGCCGCCTGTAGAGCTAATTCTCGTTGCCGGTCCCATTCCTCAGCTTCCTCCTGCGAGCCTGGATATGCTAGGGGCCTTAAATCCAACGGCTGTTGGTCCGCACGAATGGAGTTCGTCAGCCACATCATGTCATGGCTGAGGCCGGCACTGACGGCCGCAGCTCCAGAGGCAGCAGCTGCCGCTGAGGCGGCGGATGCAGCAGAGGCGGAAGCGGATGCAGAGGTACCCGGCGTCCGGGAATAATGGTGGGCATATGTTTGAGCCGGACAGCTACTACTGCCCGTGGGAGACCCTACTACTGGCGGGGTTTCCGGCGGAGTAGACGGCACACCGCCAGGTACACCGGTCGCCGTGTTAGTGCCTGAGGATGTGGCCACTAAAATAGCCTGGCCTGGCAACGGACCGTACTGTTCCGGCGGTGGGGACAGGGGCTGCAGGCGGCGCTCATCCATATGCCACTGGTGATGACCCGAAAAGGAACGCAGCTTTATGTGCGGCGACGGGGAAACCTCCACGGCTCCGGCGGCTTCTGGTCCTGCCAAAGCCAGCGGCTCCGTTACATCTTCCGGGTTCGCCGGGTCCCCATGAACTGTGGTCCACTTGACCGCCACAGGTTGGGGCGGACTATGATCCTCCCGCTTTACATGACCGATGGCAGTGATCGCGGTAGCTGAATTCGGGTGGCCGCTTGCAGCTCCATTTCCTGGCCCCCCCGCCACCTCCAGGTGGTGCAGATCAAACTCCTGGACGTACGTGTCGGCTATGGTGGGATCTTCCATTTTCATTGGATCGACCAGGGACCGAAGAAGGTCGATTGGGGGCCTCACATGCAAAGCGTATGCGCGGGATGCGGGCGTAATCGAGGGTCAACTACACGTTCCGGGACACGGACACTTGAAATTTGAAGTTTGTTTTTTAAAACTGTTTGGAATTGATGCTGTCAGAGATAGCTAGTAAATACCTATTTTAATTGTTTTTTTCGGGTATTATTATTGTTTTTGTTTTTATGAAAAGTTATTCATTTGTCTTTAGAGGACTTCTTTCTTTTCTTTTGTGACAATTTCAAATTTTTTGTAGTTAGATTTAATTATGATTTTATTATTTGATTCTGATAGATGCAACGATCACTATCCGCACTTTTATTTCGATGCTATATCCATAGGCAATATCTCGCTTTCGCTCTAACTATTCCCCTCTCGCTCACTTGGCTTGGCTTTTGTCGCGAACGCGCTTTCGCCGCTCGCTGCGTCCAATTTGAAAGAGTTAACGGTGGCGACTGAACTCCGGATCCGGCGCTGGACTGGACTGAAGGGTGGCCGGAGCCCTGTTCCCTGGATTGGGGCTGGCAGAATGACTACGACGCGCGCATCGTCCGACCTCAACGCACACACACAACTTCACGGCAAGTGTCACAAGCCGACACACAAACGTCGGGCCAAAAAACCGACCAACACAACAACAACCAATCCAAGCTCGCACGCCATTCGCTGATGGCTTTTTCCCGGAGGGCTCCTGCTGGAAGTGGAAGCGGAATGGAAAGCTTGTGAGAGCGGAGAGCAATAAGCCAGAGACGAGCTCTCGAGCACCCTTTGAACCATATTGTTGTTGGTTTATTGTGCAAAAAGCAACCAAAGTCAAGCCGAGAAAGCTCTCAGTACTGCACTGCACAGTGTCACTTAAGTCTGGGTTCTATTTCTATAAAATATTAAATCTTAAATCTTAAAATGCCTCATCAAAATATTAAATTAGGGAATCTATAGGTAGAGCAAATAAGGAGTATAATAATTTTATTGTATTAAAATATTTATTTATAACTGTGTCATTTTAGCCCTCTAATGTAGGCAAGGAATTCGACAAAATATTTTCGGAACGGTTTATTTGCTTAATTAGACTAAATTAATTGGTAAAAAAATATATACGGCAAAGAAATTAAAAAATCATATAATTCTTAGGCTATTGCCCCAAATATTAACAAGCACTCCCGAGCTACTGTGCAGAAGCTCATAGTTATGTCCCGGACACCCGTGTTGGCTTTCGTCTCCCCCATCTGAGCTTCGTTGCCTCCTGGGATCTCATTTTGGTGGTTGGTCTGTTTTTTGTTGCAATTGTTGTTGTGGCTCTTGTTGTTCAGTTCATTTTGGCAGAACTCTTGAAGTAGGCGTTTTTGAATTGCCATGGAGCGCATAAAAAATGGCAAACACACACACATACCACCCATAGTTGTACAGATACCCATACACCTTATGCTGTTATCGGCTCCGCCCACTTGTCCATGCTGTCTGCTTGTGTGTCTGTGTGTGTGTGTGTGCATGGCTCTCTTTGTAAGTATGTTTGTGAATATTTATGAGCAGCTACCACAGAAATTCCTACATAGCAAAGCGGCATTCGCAACTTCCAGTCTTATTTGGCTGGCCATTGCTTTAAGAAGTTGGCGGTACGGGAAGTGGCAATGGAAACGGATAGGGAGATGGATATGAATACAAAGAATAGCGGAAAACACACTCAGCCATGCTCATGTACTACACCCACACAATCACACGGCCAGACATCCTGTGTGGCCTCGTCCGCTGTTCCATTTTCCAGTGCATAAGTCAATGTGAGATGTTTTAGCCGAGATAAGTCGCTCGATTTGTTTTGGCTCGTATATAATACTCTCCGCACCAGCTGCACGTGTGGTGGGCAGTATCTAAGTATCTGTGTGTTTGCTCTGGGTAAAGGATTCCACAGTGCACAGGTGCACTTACTTGCTGAGCCAGCAAAAATGGCCTCGGGACCTTACCAACCTCGATCCCATCTTGGACACGGGGTTCTCTGGTTTTATTGTTTTATTTTAATTTGGAGTATGTTTTCTTAGCCGTAGTTTTTTTTCGTTCTTATTTTTTGCATTGTTTTGTGGAAATGTTTTGGCCTCAATGGGCAAACAGAATTCTCTAATGTAATAAACTCGAGATTGGTGGGCTGTTTGAGCAACAAGTATGGTTTGTCAAGCGGTGGGGGAGGGTAGGGTACCTATCGGAAATATGGACCCCCAAGATTGTTTAGAACCAACATTTAGATTAAATTTTAACAAGCTCTTGAAAGATTTTGGGCTAAAAAATAGTTTGTACTAAAACTAATAATTAGTAATTACTAGTAATTATGAACATATTTGGATTTTGTTTGACTAAACTATATTTTTCCACCAAAAAAATCTTCAATAACCTAGATATCTCCCCTTCCAATAACTATTCAGATTTGTTTTCTTGTAAGCCCATGGAGTGACCACAAAAACTTTGTTTCACTTTCTGCTCGTGGGGGTAGTGGCACCCCACTCCCGGCACACCCATTCTGCACGCAATTGTTGTGTCGAAAAGAATTGGAAAAAGGGCGGACAAGGGGGCGTTCGAGGAGGATAAAACATGCTGCTTCTTAGGATCTCCGCCAGCAGGAAAACATAAAACAAAATCAAATCAACTGCTGTGGGTGGAAAACTCGTATGACTAAAGCAGTAGCGGGGGAAAATAGGAAAGTACCAGGCTTCATTGAAGCTTGTCAAAATTAAATTGAACACAATCGAATTATCCTCTGTATGCTCCATTTGACAGTCTGCACTGATTTCTAGTCACTCCGACGGACTGGGGGGATTAAAGGGGCAGTGGAAGCATTGAACATCGAAAAGGAAATTGTAGATGAACTTTGGTCAGGTGTGAGAACCACTTCAGCCTATTACAAAAGGGTTAAAGGTGTGCAAATATTTGTTTGAGGCCAATTAAAAATATTTTTAATAATCGACTCGAGAAGTCAGTGTTTGCTTGTAAAGGCCTTTCAGACACGTGCTGGAAAGTTTATTTAAATCGTTTATTTGCACAAAACTCCCAAGCCTAAAAGTATGCAAATAAAAATACCAAAATTTCAATATTTAGGTTTTTTGCTGTACTTGTTTAGAAAATACTAGGATGCTTGATAGAATAATGGAGTTATTTTATTATATAGATTATAGATTATTATTATAGAAGGCAATTTAACTTTCGTGGAACACATGGTTCTGGACAGAACTTTTTTAAATATTTTAATGATGCTATCGGGCTGTGTTTCCCGGTACCTTCCTAAATTTTCATTCATTTTCGCATTATGCACGAAGAAAACGAAATAGAAAACAACGAAAAAAAAGATTTGAAAAAAGTATACCTTCATATTTTGTTCGCTGTATTATGGATCTTAGCACTCACCGACATTTATCCTTTCTCATTTGCATTCCTTACAAAGGGCCTCCCATTGTCTGTCCCTTAATCCAAGTACAAATATTTGTACGCGATTCTTTTCAATTGCATTTCAATTGTTGACTAAGATGACGATGTGGATTTGTATGTTGACGTCAATAATGGTTTCCTCCCGCATCTATGTGAACGCATTTGACAATGTTTATTACGCCGGATTAGGCAGCATTACAACTTCCCAGCGAAACGCGAATAAAATAAAAAGGCGTTCGAACTTGGTCGCAAGTCTGGCATGTGGTGATGTGATTGATTGCGCCAAGTCTATCATGGTGCCGCCACTTGCCACACGCTTCCCTCATATCATCCCTCAGACCCTCATGAAGTCGTGTTTTATCGCAATAATTTCTGGTAAATCAAAAGCAAAAAATCAATTTTGAAAAATACAAATAAGGGACTAAAGAGGCCGAATCTTTGCATCATTCTAGAGGCTCAACCCGTCACATTTCACTGCACATCACAGCACGAGTGCAGTCTCCCCTGTGGAGGTCGCCAACGACTCGGGGGTATTGACATCAGAAAAGGACTTTTCGACTAAAACAGAGACAGAATCGATGAAGCCCTAAAAAAGTGGAATCTTTGGCTAGAATATTAAGGGCTTTAAACTATTTTTATTTAATTTAATACATAATTTAAAAAATAACCCTCAATTATTTAACCACACTTTTGCCCGGCTTTGATGTCTCTATCTCACATAATCCACAATGATTTCCTTTGGCGCACCCATTCGCAGATTCTATTGTGTAAGGAAAATATATTTCCCAACCATTTATCATCTTGGGTGGTCCATCGCTGAACAAACAGCACGCGTCCTGCCGCAGGACCTGCGGTAATCGGTGTCTGCGCCACAACAACAATGTCCATAACGAGGAGGTATTTATGCGGCTTACACCTTTGCCTCGGGCCGGAAGCGTCTTCCGGAGTCAACAAATTGACAGCAAATATTTCAATTATTCTGCCCTTCATCTTTATTTATGGAATTTAACCTTCCAACTTTGGAGATGGACTGACCCTTCTGGAACCCGTTTAGAGTCGGCCTGGTAGTTGTTTACAAATCGCTGGACATAATTTATTTGCTCCCATTGTTTTGCTTTTGCTTTGGCTCAGCCTGTCAATCGCTGAATGATAAACTGCTTTCAGTGATAAGCCAGTGTAATGTCACTAAGGGGGAAGATCACATTTGGGGTGTGAGTGAGTGAGGGTTGCAGTAGTTGGTCGATCACCCTTGTCGGCTCATTAGGAAGCAATTATTCGTTTAGGGTTGGGAACCCACCCCACTCCTCCTTGCCCTGGCTGGAAAAATTGAAGGTCAGGTACTCTGTCGGATGTCAACGACTGTCAGTTTGACACAGCCAACTGACAGTTGTCAGCGAAGAAAAGAAGGAAACGCCCACAAATGTGTCGTCTGGATAATATGGCTAATTTTAGGATGAAGTTGAAGCTGGGTGCGAAGTAAAGGAGTTCTTGAAAATAATATTGATTACAAAATAATAACAGTTGGCCAAAACAAAATGGAAAATGAAATTAATAAAATAATTCAAATTAATACAATTTTAATTTAAGATATTTTTAAGCAAGATAGGTAGAAAGGGTAAAATTTGGTATTATGTTGTACGAAAAGGAATGCAAACGAATCCCTGTCACACAGCAGCCCAATAGATCTCCCCTTTTTATACTTTTCAATAAAATTCGAATAAATTCAGTTTGTTAGCCATAAATTATGTCCAGTTTGCTATCGACACGGCATCACACGTGTTGCCAGAGGCCAGAAGTCAACTAATAACGGGACAGCGACCGTGCCTCCCAAATGTAGGCTATGGGATATGTATTTTTTGTCTTTCCGCTTTGTTTTTTCTATTTGGCTCTGCCTGCCACTCTTACTGTCCCCCATAAATATTTGTGCAATAAATTTTTTAATCTTGTCGCTTTAATCGCACAAATGTCGCTGCCTTTTATACGCACTCACACACAGGCACCGGACACTGGCAACCCAGAAATCCCCCAGTAGCCACAGTGCCAAAACCTAGACCCCTCGGTAGCAAAATCAATTTCACTATCGTTGAA